GAGATCACGCATGTATACATAGCTTTACAATCCTGTTAACTCTCGAGTCACGCCATTGTAATCCAATAACATAAAAAGCAACGTAAATGAAATGGCTGTGACGATTTCTCAATAGATAATCAATGCACGTCTATCATTACGAAGGATCCATACCAGAAATAACTTGGAAGTCCCATGCAAAGAAATTTCACATTTATTTTCAAGTGTGCTCTGAGTGGAGAATGAAAATATTCGTTGCAATTACATCTGTTAGCTTGTAAAAGACAATCTGAACTAATATATAACTCCCGTTCCTAGTACTTATGTACAACAAACATGACATTCAGTCACATGCATCTAAAAGAAACTGAGATAGTATAAAATGCCTACCATGCATATATATATAAACATATATATCTCATTGTTATTAGAACGATAAGGTTTTCTCTATATCTTTTCTATATTCGTATGCGATAGCATATGCGTCTTTGTTGGTATTGTTGTGAACAGAACGTTTTTCATGTGACGCATATATGAGGTGAGATGAACAATGTGTCGACATGACTGAGTCGAATGCGTGATGGAATCTGTTTCAAAACAACCCAAAGGAATGCGGTTGTATGCCGAGACAGACATCGACTTGCACTCACAAATCGTCGCTGAAATATCAGCTGTTATGACCTCTTGATATCAAAAACAACACGCCTAATAGGAAAATCTAATTATATGTGGTATTATGTTCCTTGTACGAACGTCTTTATGATATTTTTTTACAATCTTTTTTTTATATTTCTTATGGCAGGGCATGACAAAGTGCTTGTTGAATCGCCCATGTTTTGAGGTGTGTCTATAGTCACATACGATAAAAAAGCATTTTTCATTTACCTTACGCTTCTTAAATCTCACGAGGTACAACATAAGGTTGTACATGTGTATTGTTTATTTATTTCCAACGGATAATTGGCAAAATTATTCAAGTCTTGATTTGGTTAAACCCAGCATCCAAGATTGAGTTTTTTCAGATGTGTTCAACTTGTAGAAACTGACCCGCGAACATTCATAACCGCGGATAAGCGAGGCGAACATTATTTGAATTACTATTGGGAAGAAAGTTGAAGGTCACGGGGGCAATCATTAAACGAATTGCGCAATATTCTGCTTTAATTTAATTACCCTTTATTTAAACACACGCCGCAAGAATTCAGATACTTGGTAAATGTTGCCTAATGGAAAATATTGCTTTGCCCCGGTGTAAAGAGTGGGTAATTATAGAAATATATACAAAAGATTATGATTAAGCACGGCTTCCGTGTCTTCTAAGTCTTCTCTAATATGGAAAACGATTTGGATTTCTGATTTCTCACTATGAAGAACGCTAATAAAAGCGACGTGACCACAATCACACAACAATCCAATGTAGCCCTATTTCCACTCAGAAAGACGGAAGAAAGCGTCACATCCGCGAGGTGTTTCTTTGTTGGCCGACCACGATGGGCGGTCAGCACGCAAGGCTCATCTTATCATTTCGAAATATCCTGTCGCACATTGTGTGCGATTATGTTTAAATGGTTTAAGATGACGGTAAACGATGACGTTTACCTTTTTGGTCGCCGTTCAATATTTGACCTACCGTCGCAAATTTGCGACCTCATTTTATTTGGCTGGCAAAGCACCAGATTCCTGTCACGTGATTGTGTCAAAAAATAAACCGCAGAATACTCCCAGGTGTTGCGCAATTTTATTCCTGGTATTTGGCGCCGCCTTATTGATGTCGGAGAGATGGACACATCATGTTTAAAGGTGGACTTATAGAGGAGCATAGTTCAGAGCGTGGGTTGTGCCAATCCCAAAAAATCCGCACACCTCGCCAGGGAAATCCCTAATAATTCCTTAAAAAATCCCTGAAGACAGGCAAATTCTTTCTCGAAAAGCCTATTATAACTGCGACGTGTAACCCCTCAATTCGACCATCCTTCTGAACAATTCTTCTCTCCTATAATTCCAAACAGGATAGAAATCCAGCACATTGCTGGCTGCACCTGAAACACCGGACAGCCTTGTCTATACGTACGGTGCCATCTCTCGAGTACAACTGAAATTAACCCCGCAAACCGCCTACGCCGTGAAGGGGGAAGAAATAATGATCTTTTTTGCAGGCATGGGAAATCACGATGATTAACGCACACATATTTTAGCAACGAGTTTCGAATGTCATTTCGTGATACGAAAATAGCGACGGAGAATTAAGAGCAGGAACTATTCCAGCACATTCACACCAACGCAACAAGTCGCGTGATTTATTAACGAGATTCGGCGTGTAATTATCAAGTTTATCAATGCGGAAAAATGTTGGCACGTTCAAAATCTGATTGTCTAATAACACGTGGTGTGGATAAACACACAGAGTGACATTAGGAGAATTGATATGATATTTTTCTTTCGCAGAACTTATGTAAAAAAAACTGTGTAGTCTTAAAGTTTATCGATTAAGATCATCTTGTGTTTCATTTTTGTTTATAGAAAGAAAACAATTGTTACGAAATACACACTGTAAGGGTTGTTTTCAACTGTAGACGTATGTATACGCACGTAAAAGTTTTAAATCAAGCCCAATAACAATAAAGCATATTTTGATCCTAGACATGTGTTAATACACGACATAGGATTAAAATAGATATATTTCGATCCTTTTTCATCATCACCACCGTAGTAATCATTATATTATAATCATCATCATCATTTCTGATGAAATATAGGATCGAAATACAACCACTTTAAGTACACGTCAGTCTTGCGTAAGCCAAATAAATCTTGGATTCTGTTTCCCAATTTTTGTTTTATATTTATATTTTCCTGAGGGGATATTCACCTCAAGGTACAGGAATCCTCGAGGTACACGAACCTCGATTGAGTCGATTCCAATCCTCGACTTGGAAACTACTAAAGATCCATATAAAAATCCCGAAAGATCATTAAGAATTTTTGGAGGAATCTTCGTTAAATCCGTAAAAATCTCAAAATAGCCACAAATCCCAAAAGATTTTCGAAATCCCGAAGGGGTTTTATGCAGATGACTAATTCAACTCTCAATCTCACGGACATGAGCGTGCATGAAGAGAGATTCCTTTTAAAATTTGAACAAGCGTATTATACGACTTGACAGACATCATTACAATCATCACAACAACCCCATATCAGCGTTTAAGAAAGTCGTGCTTATTGTAGTTTGTTGCGACCTGTTTTGACAAGTACAGATAAGATTAAAATCAAAAAGCATCCATCAAAGGCCGCCTACACACAGGATATCCTGCAGGACAATCCTGGCAAATATTTCCCTATATTGAAAACATTATGAGTACGTAGAAAAAAAACCAAGCTGGCTTTTACTGCTGAAGGTCACGCAACAACCGCTTTTCGCTACGAAGGCACATTTGCAGAGTTCGATCAATTATGTCTGAGTTCTTGAAGAAGAGGTCGCCAAAAATAGAATAATTAGTCGTAAATGTATTTCCTATACGTAATATTATTGTGCTGCCCCAGACTATATTAGACCTATTATAGAGAAGATAATTCATAACACTTTCCATATAGTATGACTTCTGTTAGCCATCACAACACTTGACGGGCCGCAACCAAAATAATTAAATTTAGTCTCCAACAGAAGAAGCTCCAAGCCAAAATTTAAACAACTTCGTCCAGAAACATTGTCCCCTTCTACTACTTCGCCGAGAAAGGGGAAGTTCAACTCTTGCACGCAAGGGTTGGTTCATGGTGGGGACCGGGGGGGGGGGGTTGTGCACAGTTATTCAAACGTTGCAAATGTAGAAAAGGAGATGGGTAATAAATTACCAGGGCGTCCTAACAGAAATATGCCATTTTTTGCATTTGCCATGATTATACTTCGCTTTGTATATATGACTGTATGTGTCCTTCTGAGCATTGAAATATAACTTGATGTAATCACCCCCACGCCCCAAGGGTGCGCAACTCTCTTGCCAATCACACTCTATTATCAATATTACAAAATGGTTGTCTTCTAGCAAACTCTAAGCGTGCATAAGTTAAAGCTCAGTAATTGAATTTGCATGCAGCTGTGTTTGCAATAATTTCCGGAAAGCCTTCTCGAAAATTTCGGACATCCCATACATGAAATTTGAAATTCGAAAATTTAAGAAATTTAAAACTTTCGATTCCAGTTTGAAAAAAAAATTCGTCAAGTTGACGAAAAACAAACTCGTTGGAAAGAGAATAGCCGAAAATAAATATTATATGACTACTGCCATTGCAATAGTAATATAATTAATTAATATATAGATACATCGATCGTTCAAAATAGAGAAATGCTTTGCACAAAACGTTGGGCAAAACAGCGCTTCATTTTTCCTAATTAATGCTAATTCATTCGTTTTTTCTGCTTGCCACTATATGCTACTATATATATACACTCGCCTTCTGGACGTTTTAAAGATGAGGTACGCGTTTAACCCAAAATTTCAAAGATGATGTATGCTCAAAGTTAGCTTAGTTTCCATAACCTATCCACGGCCATAGCTAGACCTCTTAATTGGGAGGGTGGTTTCAAAAATAAATCAGTCGGGCATAAGGCAAAGATATCAATATACGACCCCCTTCCCCCATTTAAGCTTCTAGCTACAGCCCTGATGGTATCATTAAGAGCAACGCATCTGAGAGCACGTTTACATAGCTCATGCATGTAAACAAAACTCTAATCCCAGGCCACTTCAATTATCTTATCTTCAGGAGATAAGACAAACCAAGTTATTCTACTGAACAGGTGAACATTGACACGCACTGTAACCAGCTTTACCATATACAGTATGTAAATTTGTTAACCATAGCTGATAAAATCTAGTTAGACTGCTGGCCCCGCCTAGTACAAATTAAAATCAGGTGGGCCTGTCTATGGGCGTCTGACCGAATCTGATAATAAAAATTACCAGATCTGGTCACACACTGACTGTAACATGGTTTCATAATGGCACATGATATAGTAACCCTACCTTTCATGATAGGCCTTTGGTAAGTTTCGTAACCCGTTGGTTTTCTGATCTTCATTTTCGTGGCTGCGGACGGCGGGATAAGCGTAAGCTTTAAAAATACAAAATATTGTACTAAGGAAATACGAAGGTAAGACTGGAAACACATTTCAGCCTAAATAAGCAGAGTAAAGTAGTCCGCCATTTTGAGGGGACATGTCGCAGTGCTCGGAAGCTTTCGTCCAATGGACCTTTCTTATAATGACGTCAAACGCGGAAAGTCTGATGTTACGCGAAATTTGATTGGCGGCACAAAACTATCGAGCCAATCAAACTTCGTGTAACATCAGACTTTCCGCGTTTGACGTCATTATGAAAAAGGTCTATTGGATAATGCTTTTCTATGCTTTCTGAAGAACGAAGCTATGCTATTGGTTGGAACAAAAATGTGTTGTAAAGTTCAGCCGATGAAAATCATTCTTGCGAGGAGCTGCGACACTACCCGGGATTTATAGTGGCAGGAGTTCTTCATTCATTCAAACTGCTCTCTTACCTCTTTTCTTTAAAGAATCTTCAGCTTTTATATCCCCGGGAGTGTCAAAATGCACGTGTTTCTTTCCCCGGTCGGCCTTCCAATCCCGGGTCATCGGTACCGGGTGACGTTTACGAGGAAGAGGCGTGTCGAGTGGGGATGAAGTGTCCGACGACGAGACTGAGCTTGAAACCTGGGGGGAGGTCTGAGTACGAGAATTTCGAACGAGTTTTCTCTTCACGCCTAAAGAACGAATGATTTTTATAGAATAAGATCTCTGGAAAACTTCCTTCTGTGTTTTAGAGCGACTATTTTTGTTGAACGCTTCTCCTCGTACAAACCAGGTACTCTGAAATAGCGAAAGAGAACTGGCGCTAGTTCTCAAACATAAATCCATTTCTCAGTTGAAGCAATTCTAGAAATATATATTTCTAGAAATAAACTTTATTTCGGTTTCAAATTTAAGTCGGAGTTATGGTTCTCATAACTAAATATAATCACAAAATTTCGACTAGTTTCATAAAGAATAACAAAAGATATAATAGATGAAATACTGTAGAATGGATTTCTATTTCGACAACCCTCCTGGGGCCGGTTGTATCAAGCCTGTTCAGCTTAAACGGTAGATAAGTCAAATTTAAATAACACTCTTACATCTGTCTTGAATGAGTGAACTTGAATATTATGCACTAAATACGTAGTTGTAAACAGTATCTTTGTATTAAGGTTAAAAACATTTAGTTTGCTTGTTAAGTAAAACGATAGACTTGCTTTCTATTTTGAACTTAACCACCGTTTAAGCTAAACGGGTTTGATACAACCGGCCCCAGATCGCTAAGACCGCGATCATGCGATCGCTGCGATTGCGTCGATTCTGGTCGCAAAGTGACCACTCAGAGCCTGCCTGGATCTATGGAAAGCTCGGCGGCCCATGTTAGCGAGATACTTGATGTTAGTACCAAATCATCGTTAGCATTACCTGACGATTTTGAATTTTCGTCACGTAGTTTACCGTAGACGGTGGTTTTATAACTCGGTTGAGTTTTGTGCTCGACTGCAGCAGTGTAGTGAGGGTTTGAGGTCGCCACGCTATGGGAAACGTGCTGTCTTGGAACTTCGACAGACGATGTTTGGAGATTAGACTGTGGCAAAGTTTGTTGTGGGGGTATAACTGGGTACACTTGCGTTGTGGACATGCCTTGTGTGGTAGCGCCAGCAGTCGATGTATATGTGTGGTGAGGAGGGATGTTGGCAGGTTTTTCATACCTTAACTAGAGAAGGAACAGGATTTTATATAAAAACAAAATAAATGCACCTTGCCTAGGACGAACTGCAAAGAATAACGGAGCATTTGGAACATAGTTCTCGCAAATACGTGAACAATTCTCCTTTTGCTCCGCTATTTTTTATAGTTCATCCGAGGCTGACTATCTCATCGAACTAAGGTCTGTTCACATTTGCAATTTTAGTTGCGATTTTCCCCCTTTTATCCATGCAAATGAGCCAATATAGTCATGAATGCTCTAATGCATAACGGCCTTTATTTCACCATTCGTAACTTATTCACTTGTGCACCATTATTAAAAGTAACATCGCAGAGTTTAGACCCAGGTCACGTTGTCGTAATATTTTCCATTTTTCGGATTTGGGGGGAAACTTGGGACTTGCTTAGGATTTACAACAGAAGGCGCAGTGAAGGTCTTCATAATCAGAACTCATCACAGCCAGGTGTAGGATGAATCGATCATACCTGATATTCCACTAGCTGTTTTTGCATCTCCTCGAGATGTTGTAATCTTCGTTCGTCCCGTTGTTTTATTCCTTGTTCCAATTCTTGTTGCTGTTTTTCTTGCCAAGCTCGATTCTCGTGGCACTGGTTTTCAATCGCACCCAGTGTATTCATCAGATTCTTCATCTGGTCTTCGAAACCACTCGAAAACTTCAGAAAAACATAAAAGTTAATATTTGAGCTCATTCAGAAGCGGGCATTGCATGAACGAGGAAGGTGCTATATAGGGTTCTTAGTTGACACGTACCCAGGCACCTTCGAAGTTCTCGCGGCTTGATTGAAATGTATTCTAATCAGACACTCAACCGAGTTTCAAGCATGAATTTCATAGTACGAAATGCAAAAGTACCTGAACAGCGGTGTTGTTACTTGAAGTTTTATCTTGTGCTGCAACACCCAAATCTCGATTTTTTTTTTCTTCCGAGCGTACTACTCCTTGGTTTTCACCCACTGCCTTTTCTTGGATGATTTTTGGTTGGACAACTCTCCGTACGGCAGGGCAATGTTCTTGTCTGAAAGCATTTGAAAGTTGAAGGAAATGAGTCAAATATGGATATGTATGTGGAAATCAGATCCACATATACTCTGGACTCGGGTTTCCACTCGGAAAAATAACTGTATCCTCAAAGGACCTAAACATGCAAACAGGAGGTCTTCCATTCTGTTCAACCTTTAGTTATTCGACCACATCTTACCTTTTCCCAAGCATGTCTTTCATAGCCTTTCCTTTGTCAGATGCGCTGAAAGAAACAGCCTTCACCTCGCCTAAAATACAACCATGCATGCACCCATCAACTGACAGTAGCCCAACTGGAAATCGACGAGCGAAAAATTTCAGACAAAAATGAAATACTCTTTAATTGACGAAGCATGCATGCAAAAAACGCTGACAGTGCTGTGGATGTTGGCATAGATAATTCCTAAGTTGATCGTTCCAGTTTTATAGAGTTCATTTATTTGCCTCATGACATTTATTTTTGGCGCGAAATGGACTAGCTTCTTTTGGAAGCGATGGCGGCTTCGAGACCATGCTACAAATTTTTCGATTTAAACAACGCTAAATTGATTGTTAAAGACGCTATTTAAAAGAAAAGTAAACGAAAATATGCTGCTGGTGTAGTTATAGCGTTGACGCCAACGACACGGCGTGAGAAGCACAAAAAGGCTGAAAAGGTCAGGAAAAACCGTCGAAACAAAAGTCAAAACGAAAGTAAAATGTAACGTAAAATTAAGTATTCGGTTTGTTGTGTTTGAACAGGCGTACTTCGTGAATTACTGGTACATTGAATAGAGTAAAATTTGTAAGATATGCATTTTCTTGTTAGCAAAGGCCAGCAATATATTTGAAATACATCAGATGAATACCTTTTTGAGATTCAGCGACATATGAAATATTATTTGATGGTGCGCCTTGGCAGAGTCCAGCTCTCTTTATCTACAGGCAGATTAAAAAAGTAGAAATTCATTATACAAAATCCAGCCCAAAGAGCCAAGATGATGTCACAACTGTACACCAAATATTAAAATTACCTTAACAGGTTCTGTTGCTAGCTGACCCACAACTTCCCTTTCTGTTTGTTTTGAGACAAGTGACCCTTTTGATTGCCCTGTGCTAGTGTTTTTGCCTCCAGACACAGCTATTTCAGGTTTAATTTTAGAGTGTATTTCAACTGATTTTTCAGGAGATTTTTGAGATGTAGTTGCTGGAACACCAATGGTCTTGTTGCTATCTTCTGTTTTGGAATCTTTCAAATTTCTTTCTGCTTGGGTTTGTTCTGATTTACTGTTGTTCACAGATGACTCTTTAGAGGAAGGTGATGTATATTCTTGTAGGTATTTTATGACAACAGGTGTATCATTTAGTCTGCTCTTGTTGCCATCCACAACAAAAGGATCGGACTTTTGTGATGGCTGGGAAGAATATTTAATCACAGTTGGAACTGGTCCTATTGCCTGGATTGATGAATGCTCACCTGTCAAGGATGGAAATGATTATAATTCTACTACAACCTGTGCGTATTCCAGGAAGGTAATACACTCAAAAGGAGTTCAACATGCAGGTAGTACAAATCCTACATCATGTATTCTGATCTGTTGATTTGTATATGTCAGCTTTCCTTTCAGAAAATATTATCTCACATAATATAGGTGTGAGGTGTCTAGTTAATAGCAAGCATCTAAGCTTTTAGAGGGTTGCTATTATCAAAAACATAAGACATGCTTCAATCCTGTAGGATTTCATGTAACTCCCAATACATGAAATATCAGTTATATCATTATTGCTAATTAAACATTCCTCAATCCTCAGACTTCTAAATACCAGATATTAAGAACTTAATCCTTGATACTCTTTTTAAACTTTTACAGCAATTGTCTTGAAAGTGGTCAGCCAAAAAGATGCAGGTGATCATAGGTAGCCCAATGCGCTGCATTACGTACGTCACTTGGGTCACGTATATAGTATATAATAATATAAGGTTGGCAAGAATATTTTATTTTCAATATACATCGTTTAAATATGATCAAAATATTAACATCTATTCTATAAAATACGCCAAAAAAATAACAGCCCCTAAGTGTAGGGTAGTTTTACTAAATTTGTACGTCGTTTTTTTGCAATGAAACGCGATTAAAAAATGAAAATATGCCAAAAGTTTGTTGAAATTTGCCGTGTCCCGATGCGGGATGCCTGTTGCCGTGCAAAAACATCAATTTGAAAACTCGTATACGCGATCCTATTGGTCATGCAGCTTTGACCGTTTTGTGATGACCAATAGGATCGCGTATACGAGTTTTCAAATTGATGTTTTTGCACGGCAACAGGCATCCCGCATCGGGACACGGCAAATTTCAACAAACTTTTGGCATATTTTCATTTTTTAATCGCGTTTCATTGCAAAAAAACGACGTACAAATTTAGTAAAACTACCCTACACTTAGGGGCTGTTATTTTTTTGGCGTATTTTATAAAATAGATGTTAATATTTTGATCATATTCAAACGATGTATATTGAAAATAAAATATTCTTGCCAACCTTATATTATTATATACTATATACGTGACCCGAGTGACGTACGTAATGCAGCGCATATTGGGCTACCTATGAGGTGATAAGCTACTGTGGATGATCAACCAACCCATATTATGGACAGTGCATCATGCATACTTACTACTCAATTGGCTTCCAAAAAAGCTTTCACTCATAGTACCCTTGGAGTCACTACTAGACACATTTCCACTGCTAATTCGGTCCATTGGTGACTTTATCTCTCGCAAAAGCCGAGAAGGAATGCGCACTCGATGCTGGCCGCTAAACGACCTATCCATTGAGGCAGATGACACAAAAGAATCTTGGTTCTCTTTGTTTTCTGCATAGTTTTGATTTAAATAAGGCTCAAAAGATGCTTGTTTTGTGCGTGTCTGTGCAAGAGAGGTGACTGCGTCTGCAGCTGCGCTGGTTATTGATAAAATCTGACGGTTCTTTTGCGTTTTTGCGTTCAAAAGTTGGATAATATCCTCTTCCAACTCCTCTGTTCCTTCGTCCGGGAGACAATTTCCATCCATTTTACCTTTGGAAATCTCACTCAATACAACATAAAAATGTTCAATAACACATTAAACGTTTTCTCGGCGAAATTCTCTGCACCATACAGAAAGTAATGTAACATTTTGTATGATTTCTTTCCTGACAAAATAGTCAAAATCCCGCGCCATTTTGTATGTTTTGTTTTTTAAATTATTTTTCACGCATGCGTATCGCCCCACAAATCAATAGCGAACTTCCGCATTGAAAATTTCAGCTTCGTTGATAATTCGACAAATAAATCCTGCAAAGGCTGCAATCGAGATGATAGATTGATTATAAGTGGGATATTATGCTCTGTAACACTACAAGCAGCGTGTTCTTTGATTTTCAAACTTAAATATTTAAATATAATATTTCGTATCGTTTTACTTTCTTTTTAGATTTGCACTTTACTTTCCAAAATGAGCATGGAAGCTGAAGTCTTAAGTGGAAGCATATGTAGACAAAAATAAATGTTGATGTCATATTTGTGTTGCTTTGCTTTAGTTTGCTGGCAATTTCTATTTCTTCAGGATGAGCAACAACGATCAGGATGTTTTAAGCGAGTTATCTAACTTGATCGAAACCTTAACCACCTCTGGGAGTAGAAATTTAGACGAAAAACTCTTCAAAAGAGTCAAATCGATTTGCAAAAGTTCAGACGAAAATGTGAAACATTTATATCGAATGATTATGACACAATTGGAAAAGAGGCATTCCGAAATTCGACTGTCGGCTTTGCAAATCATCAACGAAATATTTTTGAGGTCTCATGCATTTCGTGTATTGCTTGTTGATGATTTTCAAAAATTCTTGGGTCTGGCAATAGGGGTGAACAGCAAATTACCTTTGCCAGAACCCAAAGCAGTTGCAATTATATTGAAAAAGCAGGCTTTCCAAGCAATTGAGAAATGGCACCAGAAATATGGCCCCCACTACGTGAAACTTGCCCTGGGTTACAAATATTTGAAGCGTGTTAAGAAGTTTAATTTTGATGACTCACAGCCACTTACAGAAGTGGAAAGGCTGAGAGCTCAAGATGTTGAAACCAGAAGAGCAAACCTTGCTGAGCAAAAGCTAAATGATGTCTTGACCCAAATGAGTGATTCTGTCAATGAGATAGAAAATGTCATCACAGAAATGGGGAACTGCTTTCGACTTGTTTTACCAAGCCCAGAGGAATTTGATATACACACCGGTGACACCACAAATTCTGGAGGTCAAACTTCTGAACTATCCGATAGTGATATCCCTAGCACAAGTTCAGGCATAACTCACAGTTCAGTGAACAAAATACAATGTGCACTGAGCTATGATAATTTGAATGACCATGGTCAAATTTCAAGGTCATACCAACTTGATATTACACTTGAGACATCAATTGAAATAATCAAAACAGAAGACAATATGGATGTGCTTGGAACATTACAAGAACTCAATAAACAGGTTGTTGACAAGTATTTACCTCTCACACAGAAATGGCTTGAAGTCCTAACCAAACATAGTGGTCATCATGAGAACCTTGTTCAAGCAATTGACCTGAAAAATTCATTATTAGAACTGAAATATAAGTTTGACAAATTGAGAATTATATCAAATAAAAGTTTGAAGGATTTGGGTGCTCAGGGGAATACTGACAAATGTGTTGAAAGTAAAAATGATGGAACTGCAGAAGATGATTTCATTGATGTCCCTGAGAAAGAAGGACTGGAACATGTACCAGAAAGCTGTTGGAATGAATATGGATTAGAACCTGCCTATGCTTCAAAACCTAACAAAGGTCTAAAATTTATCCATCACTGTGAACTATTGCTGACCCTGATGTCCTCAACTTACGTATACATATAGGCCCCATCAGGCACATTTGAAATCATTGCAATGTGCCCCTTTGCCCAGCCCTCTCACCAGCTGTCTCTGAAGACAATCTTTTAGCCCTCAAACTTCCTGAATTTTAGGTGGTGCTCATACAACCAATGCAATCACATGGAATCCACATGGAATCCAGTCAAACCTGGGAGACCCCAGTTCAAGAGCAACTGCCATAGCAGTTCTCTTAGAGAAACATGAGAAAAAAACTGGTGGAAAACGAAAGGCAACACAATGCATTTCCACTTCAACAATCACTAGACCAAATGGCATGGAAAATAAAAATGTCACTAGTGAAGTTGTGAGTCAATTTATGATAATTCTTTGCCATTTGCTATTCAAATATTGGCAAAATACACACTACCCTTTACTGGACTAGGTTCATACTCACTTGTTTTCAAAAAATTTTATGCCATCCTTGTGATGTGTTTTGCTAGGGCAGTCCTTCATCTCAGAAAAGGGATTCTGACACAAACGAAAAACGCACAAAATTACTAAAAAAGGCCCCGGTTGTTCCATTTGGGATGGACTTGTATAATTGGGAAAGAAAAGAAGACGAGGCCCCCTCAGTGAGCAACCTAAAGTCGTTGCACTGTTATTGGACTCGTCCGAACGACGACAACGATGATCATTGCCCGGGGGATATAAAGGAATCTATGAAATCCCGAAGTATCCCCTTTGCTGGCGAATTTCAGCAAATCAAGTGGGCTTGTCGGGCTCCGTTACCCAGCGGGAAACTTTGCCCCAGAAAGGATAGGTATGAAACGATCTCACGTAAGCCAGGTTACGTTGCATTTCGGTCGCTTGAAATGCATTAAAAACACTGAAGAGATAATGTGATGATAAGCCTCATAAAAACTAGGTGGCCTCAGGTCGGCTATATTTAACATGGGCACCTCTTTAACATAAACACATATCTAGAATTACCCATAGAAAAATAGTAGACATGCCTGTTATTTCTATATGTCATTATCTAGCTCTCTAGTCTCTAACCTAAATGGCTTTAAGTCATTTGCCCAAAACTTACTGTTTCAGATTCAAATGTCCATTCCATGGTAAAATCATCCCTCGTGATGTGATGGGACGGCCCGAAGGCGAAGGTGACGCCAGCGTTAGTGACAATCCAGTACAGTTGAGAAGCAGTGAACTCGATGACGTAACGAGAGATATAGAACTTGCGACCGGAATGGATCTTGGAAGTAAAAAGGATAAAAAAGGGAAAAAGCGGAAGCATACAGGCCTAACGGATTTGAAAAAGAATTCGAACACGAGTCGAGCTCGCTTGGAGAAAATTGTACTTAATAAGGAAGCTCTTAAACGCGCCGCTGAGGAGTCGGACAGAGTAAAAAAAAGCCTGATTGATGAAAAATTTGGGAATAATTGGAACTATGCTTTGAAGCCTTGAATTATGGAACGAAAGTTCTTTGTGAAATAAATATATTTTAAAACTATAGAAGTAATAGAACTTCTTTTCAATACAGTTTTAGAAACGGACCATTACCAGTGAAATGAAAATAACTGTGTTAAAAGTGATGGTCAGTTTATTACAGTTCACTGACCATCGCGCACGGCTAAAGTACTGGTGTCTAGTTTGCTAAACCAATATGGCGGCGAAATTAAAAATTTTACAACTTTAGTGAATAAACACAAATCAGTTTACTTTCTTTACTATATTATTAAAAAGAACTGAAACATTGTAGATGCTAAATAACTGATAAACACTCGTTTGGTTTTTTCACGCAGTAGAGGTACAATTTTAATAGCGTACAAAAAATGGCCCAGAATCAGGACCAGGACATGAAACAGGTATTTAATGGCCATTTAAAAACTTCCTTGCTCCATCAAAACCGTAAAATTTGGTGCAGAGCGTTGCATTGCTTCTCAATATCACTCTTAATTTACAGATACAATCGTTCCTACAGTCGTATAACAAATTATCAGAACTTTGCTTTATGGATTGTATACAAGATTTCACAAATAGGACTATATCGACTAACGAGGTACGTTTGTGGTTTCTGTTTGGTGACAGACAGTGAGAATTCTTTGGGAATGACAGGGTTAAAAAATAATGAAAAGCTAGGGTTGGGTAAGGTTTGGGAAAGTTATTTCAATTCTGGGTGGGTTTCTATTATTTCAGAACAGCTGTGTCATGAATTGTGCTGAAAAATATCTCAAGATGACTCAAAGGCTTACCTTACGACTGCAGGAACAACAACAAATTCAAAGTGAAGGCCTTCTATCCCCAGGACAAAAATAAGGCACCATTTTCACCAGAAGATATGATATTATTTTATTATTAAGCAAATGTCCATCCTGGATCAATTTCATTGAGAAGAGAACTTGAAAACTGACATCCAGCCTTTCATTTAAAAGACATTTAGAAAAAATTATATCCTGGTGGACTGTATTCTAATTTCAAGATATTTATGAAAAAATTCCTATCATGTTGAGAAACCAATTATTTACAACTAAATTTTAAAAATAAATACATTGTATGAAATTCTAAGTATTTTATAACATTATCTGCTTGAAATATTAATCTGAAATAGATAAAATAGATTAAATTCACAAGAATTGCACAAAAGCAGCCAGCTCTCAGACCACTAATCAAAGATGATGGCTGATGGTGTCCCATGTTCAAAGGATGTATTTTTGCTTTAGAGAGAGTTATGTTTCCTGCATAATTTAAAAACATAATTCCCTAAGAATGAAATGAATTTGTGATATTGCATCAATGATGGAATTTGTGATAAGCTAAAAGTTCAATTTTTGTTATTTGGAAAATTTGAATGTTAGACAATAGCGAATGGCACTGGGCTACCTATACATACTTCCAAGGAAAATCTAAGAAACAATTTCCATGATTCCCGATGCTTATTGTGATCTTTTCAGCAGCACTTATTACGACTCTCCTCATGGACTGGGACGACTTGGACAGGTGAAACGTTTCCAGGACTTTCAGCTCTGTACCATGGTGTTCCAGGCCTAATGGCTTCACTATCAGGTCGTTTTGAAAGAATTGCCGACAAACAAAGATTTATTGCTGCATCTGAAATGATTAATTAAACAATATGTACTCCCTTACAACTTGAAATATGTCGTGTTCATCAAATAACACCTTACCTATATTTTTGTTCGTTTTTGCTGAGACTGGTAACCTTGAAATAAAAGCAATTCTTTAGTTGATTGGACAAGTTAAAAAAATTAATTAATTAATAAAATGTACCATAAACTTATAATAGACCACATATAGTGAATGTAGAAGAGACCTTATGCATAATCTCGTTCAAGCCGTGACGCCTGCTGGGAATTCTGGTCTTAATAGTCACGACGGAAAATTTAAAGTTCAAAATTTTGTTACGTATATTATGCATAATATACATCTATTACCATCCTTTAAAACCGTGCTCGTTGCAAAATAAATTCAAACCATTTTTATCATAACCCACACCATTCATGTCGCACTGAAAAAAAAAGTCCCAAAATAATTTTGTAGGATGAATGACAAGCAAGAACTCAATATACCATATTTCGCTATATTCGATCATGCTTGAGTATACCGTTTTCCGGTATATATTCGTAGTAGAGTATACCGTATTTCGGTATATTCAACCATAGTCGCGTATACCATTTTTCGGTACATTCGACCATAGTCGAGTGTACCATATTTCGGTATATTCGACCATAGTCGCGTATACCATTTTTCGGTACATTCGACCATAGTCGAGTGTACCATATTTCGGTATATTCAACCATAGTCGCGCGGTTTGGTACCCTGAGCACTAGTAAAATTGGGCACGGGTACCCATTTTAGCCGTGCCGTGCCAATAAATCGAGTGTAGTGTAAATGGGGCTACAGTCTATTGTGTTTAAAGTGTCGCTGTCTTTCAACATTAGATCATTCTTAAAGAAGACACTACACTGTGGAGGGTCGAAACGTTGGGTCATGAATGTAATCTTTGTGTTGCTTACTTTCATTTTTTAAACCAGAGCAGCAAATAAGAGGGCGATGGATCATATACCTGTTGCTGTGAACGTACAAAATTTGACATGCAATGTCTAAGGTGGTAAAAATATATGTAATACCTTATTTGCTAACAAAACTATCGGTATTGGTTCTTCATCTTCAGTTACAATGTTCTCCATTAAATTATTGCGCCACTGGAAAACGAAACAACGTTATACCGCGCATGAAAATTCTCCCTGATAAATATCATTTTTATTTTTCAGTTGGTCCTCGTGCAGGTAAAAAATAAAAGCTAACGACTTTGAAACGAAGAAATACGATACAATTCGCTGCAATACGGATGAAGTGGAAAACAGGCATTAGATACATTCAATGGATCCTCTTTGAAATACAAAAAAAATCAGAACTACCTTTAGAACAGCACTCCAAGTGTCGGGCCTTTATTTCGCACAAAAACAAACATAAAACAAGTTATTTTCTCCGATGAAGCATTTTTATAATCGACAAATGTAAAACAGAAAGAATAAAATAAACTTGGAAGCGAACAGACAGGGTCTCACCTGGACAAGTCGTAAACAATGAATGCTGCCATACTGGGAAAAAAACAAAATTGAAGAATTAAAGATCCTGTTACAAGGTCCAATTTTTCATGCAACACTTGCAAGCTTGCAATAGCAATATGATATAGCAATTGATCTTACTAAGTAAGACGGATTGTCAGAAGTCAGATATACTTACGCATATTTATAATACACTCTGGTCATGTGGCCATACCTCTCGTGACCAGCGACATCCCTGCAGATATGAATCCAAATAGTTTCAAGATATACATGAGATTTTAAAAGTAGAACATATAAGAAAGTAAGCGGGTGGGGGGGGATTGATCGACAGAGCCTGGACTAGAAGATTCCAGAACCTTTAGATTTGAACCCGAAAATGCAATCAAGTTCACCAGCTGCTGTTGAAAATGTCTTACAGAATTTTTTATTATAGGAGAATTATTGGAGGGGAAAACCCCTTCCCCTGCTGAGCTCCACGTCAAGTATGATTTCAGATTTTCGTCTGGCAGTGTAGAATTACTGGGTTAGTGCTTGGATAACACTTCATTTTTTTCCCTTGAGTTTGACATAATCATTTTGCCGCAACGGCAATCCAGAAATGATTATACTCAAATATTCAATCTGAGACTGAGACTGGTGCGCTGAGCTAGAAAGGCTTGTTCTTCGATTCGCAGGACATCGGCTAATCAGCCGGGCTTGGTTGTTCGAAAGGTGAATGGATCGTGCATCCTTAGATGGATATGCACTTTTCAAACAACTGACTTCTAGCTTTCATGAGAGTTTGTTGTGTCTCAAAACATTGGTCCCTACCAAAGTTGAAGATGTATTTTTGATTTAGAATCCCAATCGATCACTCTCAATGCAAAATCAGCCCCCAAGGTCGGTCGGTAACCTGAAATAAATCGGCCTACAAAATGAAAGAATATATCAGTTTTGTCGATAAGGCTCTAAGGTCATTCTGTTAAACACTACTTTTGCCCCATAAAGCAAATTTATTTGCTCTTTCCATGCATGCAAGTTAACATCAATCAGGGTTTTAATTTTATTGGAAATTCATTAATATCGCATACGAGTTCAACTACCCGCTCACTAGCCTACGTCATAGACTATACTCGTTCTACGAGGAACGAGTATAGTCTATGACGTAGGCTACCCGCTCACGGGCTCAGCGATTACTAAAAACCGGAAGCTGATCGATATGCAAACATGTAATACATAAACGGGTCAATATGAACTTTGTATATATCCACCTTGCGTATATCGACGAATAATCGAAGTCTGTATGCGACATGAAATAAAATAAATAACGTTGCTGAGTTTATTCTGGGTGATTTTTGAACAAATTGAAAGCCAATCTTGAATTCTTCAACATGATTCCCTATTGATTCGTTTTGATCTTACCTTTCCTGTAAAAAAAATACAATTTAACGAAACTCGCTGCATATTGCTTTATCTATATGTGTATATAGTCCTATCTTTATTCTGCATTCTAATAAAAATAGTGTCTGGTGATATAAATTGGAATAAACGGGTATCAGGTATTACTCCAGACAGTGTCAAATATTGAGCGTTGATCATTGTATAATGTAAACAAATGTAAATGTCACAGTGCGGTCTGTGCGGACAAAATCAAAACATTACAGTCCGCGGATATAGCCTCAAGCACGGACTTAAATGTTAAACAACATTTACAATTAAACACAAACCTACTGATACATCACCGACGACCAAAACTTTGAAGCTGTATTCCTTTACATCATCCAACATATTGTTGCGACATGATATTCAATACAAATCACAAGACAGAAGCATGACAACAGTCAGGCCTAGTTACGTCGCATTTTGGTCGCGTCGAATGCAATTCAAACAATAGATATTAATGAGATGGTAAACCTCATTTAGCTTCTTTACCATCTCATTATCTATGTTTGAATGCATTCGAATTTCGACGCGACCAAAATGCGACGTATGAACTAGGCCTCAATGTCATTAAGTTTAGTGTTAAACATATGTATTTAGCATTTTGGGAATGCTTTTGCTCCTTACATAAACCCTTAAACTCTAAATTAATTGCTTGACTGAAAATACTGAAAACTTTTTTAGTTTATATTATTGACATTGCTGAATTATGGACCCGTCTTTGGACCCTTACAAATTGAAATTGAAATTGAAAACTTTCCAGTATTTTTTCCAGTAAAATTTCCCAGCATACCTATATATCATATATAGATATATATTTCCCAACGGTTGTACGTAAACCATAAAAACTTTGAACTTCATTTATACAACGATTTAAACTAACTATTATATCATTCTTCCCGGAAATTTGAATGGGTCAGATAAATATTGTCTCAGATGAAATCTGACATCAGTTTTTTCAAATTTGCCCGTGGATTGCGTTAAGACTACAGTACGACTTAATTTTTGCGCTGGTTAAAACCAATTATAATGTCAGAATAGACTGGATTTTATAGATGGGTCAAGAAATTTAAACTTTTGTGAATCATTGAATCTCGCTGGCTTCGTCAGTTGCATTAATTATATTACGATTACAGCGATTCCAAGCCATCATCACATCAACAGCATTTGGTATGTTTTTGTTTGACGGTACTCCCTAGCCTATCTGTAGTTCCTTTGCCTGAATCTGGGAGAACCGCCAGGGGGGCATCTGGGGTTGGACTCTGCGCTCTGTACCATGGAGTTCCAGGACGTATGTGATCCTTTTGTGGTCGTTTCGAAAGGATCAATGAAATCATGAGGTTCACTGCTTCATCTGAATTAATAGAAAGATCAGATTTTAAAAAGTGACTGAACATGCTATACACTAGTTAAATCAGGTTTTCACTTTTAAGTTTATAAAAGAAACCAAAACTTTCGCACTTACCTAAATTTTTTTTCGTCTTGGCGGAAACCGGAAACCTTCAATAGAAATAAAATGAAAGAGTTAGCTTAGAAAGAGTATATTTGCTATTGGTTAAGTACGATATGAATTCAGCAATTGCAGTCACGTACCATCCATCTAGGCCATGCTCGTCGCAAAATTCGGTCAAATAAGATTCATCATAACCGACTCCATTCACATCGCACTAGAACAAAATAGGCAAACAAGTTACCAACTGGACCAATCATGCCTCCACTCCTCACACGACCATACATGTTAAGTCTCAATGTGGCTCACTCCTGCCGAAGGCCCAAACATTCTAACTTGCTAACTTCACAATACATAGCCTCTTGTAGTGACGTTTAGTAACTTACTTTGTTGCCTAAGAGAATAACAGGAATGGGTTTTTCATCTTCTGTGACAACATTCTTGGTCAAATCATTGTACCACTATACGCAAAGACAATTAGTAATATCATATGGAACGCCGGGTACGAAAAGCTGATCAAATGAGATGGGATGATGATAAATCGGACAGATGCTTAATTCTTTTATTTAAGAATAGTGGTAACTAAAACCTCTAAATCCTCTATTCGTAGGGGAAGACACTTGAATTTGAAGAATTAATCACTTTAGTAAAAAAATAACAGACCTTTAGCACGGAAGTCCAAGTTTCTGGCCTGTTAATGTGAAAAAGACAACACTTACTAACCCTTGTCAAAATATAAAACTCCTTTTGCAGTCGGAAAAATTACCTGGATAAATCATAGACGATGAACGCTGCCATCCTATTTGCAATAAAAGAAGTCATTTAGTTTTGCTTTTCAAGTAATTCTAGCTTCTGCAATGTGACCGAACGAAGGACTCCTTCGCTAGTAAAAAATATCGTTCACGAGTTGCGATTGGAAAAACGATTTTTCACAGAAATTTTCCTTCGGCATTTTGGCGGCAATTTATTTTCAAGATGGCGTCGACGTCATTTTAGTATGGTGAGTTTAAAAGTTAAAACTAACCAAAAGAACTAATTTCCCACCGTTTTCCGACATTTTCGACTGTCAAAAGTTGTATTCAAAGCATTACGAATGTCAGAAAAGAAACAAATACGCGTAAAAGCCTTTTAGTTTTCAAAAGGTTCCTAATCCGTGCCTGTTAGGCGTTTATACCCTATGGGCATGGCTATGGGGTCAAATCGTTAAATTGTATTACTATTACATAACAATACAAACAAAAAGAATTACACAACGTTCACAAAGTCAAATTGAACGTTGTGTAATTCTTTTTTTACAAAAAGAATTACAAAAAAAACAAAGTCAAAGGATTTAAAATCCTTTGAGTTGACTTTGTGAGCGTTGACATTGTGTAATTCTTTTTGTTTGTAATTGTAATACAATTTAATGATTTGTCGATAGGGTAACGGACACGGATTAGGAACCTTTTCAAAACTATTATGTAAATAGGCAAAAAAGCATAGAAAAATATTAATATGTTAAAATAATAATATGTCTTTTCTATATAAGCGTATCAAATAAATTACTTAATACTACCAAAAGATATAAAAATTAAATTTTGATTGTCTTCTTCAGTTTTGTTCGCAAAAAAATATTGCCAAACATATCTCTAAATAAACATCACATGTAGTAAATAAACTACTTGAATTATGGTTGGTTGCTTTGTACTATTTTGTACTACAATGTGTTACTTCCATTGTGAATCATGAACTAATAGACACACAGAAGGACAATTAATATATTCAAATAAATACTAACGCATATTTGTAATAGACTCTGGTCATGTGACCATACTGTTCGTTGCCAGCCACATCCCTAGATATGGGTCAAAGTAGATTTTGTAAAATAATTATTTTGTATCACTTCCTCCTGACAATGACAACTCACATCAAACAAGTCAGTGACTGGTAAAGGGAACACCCACAGCCATAGCTAGAAGCTTAAATTGGGGGGGGGGTGTATATACATAAATTCATCTTATGCCCGACTGATTTATTTTGTATGTACGCTATTGTTCCTACGGTCGATAAACATTAATATATGAATATACACCCCCCCCCCCACCCCATTAAGTGGTCCAGCTATAGCCCTGAGAACAACTATATATCAATATGTTCCTGAACTATTAAATTTTTCTAGCGCTGGGCAGGGTAATTAACTAAATGATCTATATGGTAACCCACACTACAATTAAGTCACTAGTTCAACAAAAGTCATCTGGTAATAGTGCAGATGGTAATTGCAGAATTAGCCTTGTATCACTAATAGTTATAACAACAGTCATATGTATTGTTACCCAATTAATCAATAATTCACAGAGTGAAACACTAATCAATACAGACTATGCTGCATCTGGCTATAATCAACAGCAAGCTGATATAATATTGGTGAATATATTCTGCTATTTATAATTATATAGATCTATATAGGATTTTGATCAAAGATTATATAAAACCACTGTTTTTATTGAAAATATTAGTTAATTTTGGTTAAAACGAAGCTTGCATACCACAGTTGAAGGCGTATTTTTGATTTCGAGTCCCAATCGACGATTTTTACTGCAAAATCTGCCCCTAATGTAGGCTTGTAAGATGTCAAAAACTGTCCTGAAAATAAAATGCAGGAGTAAAAATAATAAAAAGGAAAAGATAAAAAAATTCAATCTTATCACAATAAAATAAATCAATTTGAATTTAAATGGTATTTACTATTCCCTAATGAAATTATTCCACAAACTTCAAATAGAGAAAAATATCTACAGCTACTAATCAAGAAAGCTGTTAGTTGTATTTAATTGGTTATAATAATTAAACCTATATATTTGCCAGTAAATGCCAAATAATTTTACTTCAAAATTAGTCAATTTAATACATGCATGGTCAATGCAAGACCAACATATGTTGTATATAACTGCATGTCCACCTACCATCTGTATATCGATGAATTATTGACGTCTACTTGTTTGAAAACAAAAATATAATGTTGTTAAGTGTTTGCAATGAGAGTGTGTGTTGGATTCATTGTCATATCCCACAGTTACATAACCATCATTTAGCTTACCTTTCCTAAAATTAAAATAGGTAAAATTAAAAATCTAATACATACTGAGGATGATAGGATTGCAGAATTTTTTGTATAGTAGATTATGTTACAGGAAGTTACTCATTTACAAAAAAGTTTGGACATAAATAGTTCATATGAGAAGCTGATTAGAAGCACGGAAAAGCAATGGGTATGCAGACACTTACAGTACATTGTACTTGGGGAAAAAAATAGATGTTAAAAATGTAAACAAGCGTTTGTTTACACTAACAAAAAGTGATTTTTGACCCAACACAATTCGAAATACGGACAAGATTTATAGACCAAAATGGTTGAGACCCAATTCATTGTTCTTAAATCATTGCGTGATTTGAATAATTTTATTTACATTAGATTTAACTTAGTCCTAACGCAGCAAGACGTTCATTTAGCCAATAATCAGCCATTTATCACCAGAATATCCATTCTTATTATCGAATAGTCAACGAATCAAGTAGATATTGATTAAAATGAGAACAACTGTCAACATCATAACACAACTTCAAACATAAACATTCTACATTTTACAAACTTTGGATTTTCTGACTGTTAATAGCTGTCATACAATAAGTCATAATCAAACAATAAATCATAATCTCGATTAAAATCGGAAGCAATCAGCTGATTCAGCTCTGACTCTATGGCCATGAGACCATACGCAGGAGATGCTCTTTCGAGGCCACTCGCACTGATTACAATTGTTTGGCACAACGAAAGACCACCGCATATTTTGTACGGGAAATTTGCTTTCTGTTTATATTCTGTGTCTTAATTTTCTTGAGTGTGGCTCACCAGGAAATCAATGAGTGCAAAGACACATTTATCGGAATAGCAACACAAAACTAGCCCACAATGCAACTAAAGTAAGTTGATTACATTCAATGCTACATGTCCAAATGAGCACTCACCCACTGATACTTCGCCGACGACCAAAACTTTAAAGTTGTACTCTTGTACATCGTCAAAATCGTGGGACATTTTGTGCTGACATGACACTTAACAAACGCATCACAAGACCGACACTTCTAGGTATTTTGTAAAATAAATCTATTAGATTTATGTCACGTTACAATGCGGATTTCTTGGAATGTTGATGATGACAATGTTGCTAATGCTATACCGGTGAAATCGAAAGAGTCCGACTTAATTACTCCGACAGGGATTACCTATCGTGATAATTTCGTATGAGGCTTGAAATTTTCATAGATTCATCTAGATTGATCACGAGACTGGTTTCCTTTGCACGGTATATCAACATGAATATATGAATATCCACCCCACCAATTATCTCACCAAGAGTCCAGTGCTCTCATTGGTCTGTTAGTATAAGGGACGAACTCCCAAAAATTCATCATAAAATCTGCCTTTGTGCACATAAGTAATATCCCAATTCCCGTGCACTTTCTAAACGCACGATTCTGTTTCATTTGGCATATTCGTCTACATAATTCGTCTGGATAGTGTGTCGCGTGTTTATACTCTCAATTATAATTCGGGCCATTTTCTTAAACCTAACCTGATCAATAGAGGATAAATAATTTGGTATTCATTTCTCTAAATCATCCTCCCCCGCAGTACGGAGCATGCGCAAGTAAACAAACTCCACACTGTGACACTTCTCGTAAATTTACTGATCATCGGATCGATGGTAATGATTTGCCCTTGCCGATCAAACGCATTGTCCGTCAGCACCACCTGGGCAATATCATTTCATCCTATAGTTGTATATTAGTTGTTACATATCAGTGTATATCGAGACGACGAATATAACTTTAAACCGTGCATGCGCGCGTGACACTCACGTGAAAGCAGCTTTACTTCCTGATCACTCTACGGCTTCATGCTGATTGCGGACCAGATTTAGCGATTATAACCAACCACTATATATAGTAACTAGAAATAAGCCCAAACTACAGGCTTTTACAAAGACCAGTGGAATGAAACGCGCACAGGCATCGCAAAACAAGATCGCGGTATCACACATGTCCGTCAACAAACTGCTTTCTTTGATTAACTGATTCAAGTGGTAAAAAAATAAAGGAGCGTATAAGCTAACGTATTCTTTAGTCAAATTAGTCGATGATAGAATTTTTTCACCGCGACGAAACGCTAGCGAAAAATATCTCACTGATAATTATACCTATTGTATCAGGTGCTCTGTTGGAAAGTGTAATATGCCATTGTAGTCAGTCAAATACGAATTTATTTAACGCTTTAATTTGTCAACGATTGTGGAGCTGGTGCTGGTCATGCTGCGTTTTCGGCCACGTATAGATAATCAGTAATCCATAAATTACTTTTTCGAGTGTTTGATTCCTTCATCAAACTGGACTTAAAAAGGTAATGACAGCTGATAATCTCAGCAACTCTTCTGGTAATTTCCAGAAAAAGCAACCGTGAAAATGTTCTTGGGGATTTAACAAGACTACCGTCCTGAAGGTGGGTCAGCTTGTGATAAACCCAGTTAAATTATTCATAATCTAAAACCGTTATGAGTTTGAAATATACGCCGAGCATGCTCGTGACGTATTTTAGACGTTTTCTGTATTCTCTTTCTCATATTCTTAAAAAAAACGAACCATTAAACCATATCGCATATTTTCAAATATAAAAATAACATGAACACTGGGCAAGATTCTCAAAAACAAATACTTATAACGATATATTCAGTCGTAATAGAACAAAAAGCAATTTTTCGACTATTTCAATTATATATAATATAAGCATATTATTTATTTCACTGTTATTCAGATGGTCGATGGTCAGTTTGGTTTCTAAAAGAAGCTTTTTAACAAATGTTTCTTCGTTGAAGCCTGTAGGTCAATCGTTCGGGTGTTTTTAGAAAAATATCTACCTGTATGCAAAATTTTTATTGCCATGAAGTCATTAGATTTGCCGACATGAATCCAATATTTCTAATCAGTTTACTTGTTTCACAAATTTGAGCCTCATGGGAAGTGCTAAATCATTTCCTGCTGCCAAAATGTATGTAATTTACCAAAGAGATTAAAAGAGCTTAATATATATACCTGAGCACAAAATATTTCTCATTGCCAGAAGATAAGTTCAATTATAGATACGGCCATAAATTATTGGTTTTCGAAAATGGGTATCTGAAAATTTTAATTCAGTTTTTTCTGATAAAATTACAAATCCCTCTACACGCCTAAAAACGCTCAGGTTGATGCAAGTTGATATAAACAGGATGGAGCAATGTTGTGCTGCCCACATTGTTCAGAGTTGTTATCAATATTGAACAATATTGTTGAAACTGAATCGGGTGTAACAATATTGTTTGAATATTGATAACAACCCTGAACAATGTTGGCAGCACAACATTGCTCCATCCTGTTTATATCAACTTGCATCAACCTGAGCGTTTTTACGCGTGTATGTCTATATAAAATGTATTTTTACTTCGCTTATTAAAGAACACATCTTAGACAAGATATGCATGGCGATGATAAAATTTGTCGGTCAGAGACCAATGTATAGCTCTAACAGCCTGGGGCTGGTTGTACGAAGGTTTTACCATGTAAATATTCTACACACTTTAGTTTAATTGTTGAATGAATGATTGATTCAGATCTCTTGGAGATTTGTACATTATTGTTATTGCGTTCGTGCGAGCACAAACCTTGGCCTCATATATTGCGCTCATGTCGAGTGGAAAATTCGAAACAATTAATCAAAATATATTAGATTTCAATCAGAACTTAATACTACCTTTCATATTGAACGACGTCCCATGTGATCAAGAATCTTTACGATTTAATGAAGAGAAGCTTCACGAATATCATGCATGCTGTGAAGCAATAAGTGCATGAATTGTTTGTTTCTGCATGCACTTCCATGGTTTTTTAAATGAATTACATCGTAGCTGCATGTATACGCATATATTGTCAGTCAGGAGAACGAAGAATCTGACTACAACAATTGTGAGAAGATAAACGTTGTGATGTTGAAAAAGATAAACGTTAAGATAAAAATGTCACAGGACGGAATCGAACCTATAGCTATACGCCTTTGCGGGCTGTGCTCTTCCTTAGGGTGAAAATACAAGGATTATTTTTCGTGGGAGAGGTCTAAAATTAGTCTAACGTTTCGTAAATGTTGAAAATACGCACCATCGGCACGTCATTATACAAGTGATTTTCACCTAGTGTCACAAGCCATGTTTTCGCACATTCCTGACGAAGGCAACTCCGCAAGGTCACCGAAGTGGGGTTCTACTCCTGCCTGACTGAGAATCTTATTGCAGTTTATTTGGGGCACCATTCCCGTTACAATATCAGTCTGATCCTACTAAATACAGAGTTACAGTCGGTAAAACGATGATAAAATGAATAATATAAATTTGGCGTCCATAATTAACAGGAAATTCTTCATAGAAGTGAAAATGCATGGCATGACTTTGTTTATAGTGGACTACAGACTACATGCATTTGCAGATGGATGCCAGTTTAAACCAAAAATTCCCACTCTGTCAATTGTTCTGGCTTTAATATAATTCATCCACGACCTCATTATTGCATGGAATGGCATCTAGTTCGCGTATGGATTACACTTTGCTTAAAAAATCATGATTAAATAACATATTGTAAACCACCTGCACACGAAATAAATATATGAAACAATCATGTATAGACGTATACTTGTATATTAATATACGTGCTCCTCTCTGGAAGCTGTCGCAGATTTGATGAAAATTTTTAATAAAGTCGTCAATGTTTTGATTTTTAATTAAAATTACGACAGAAATTTGATAAATTTGTTGAGATTTTAATCAGTGGAACACTGTGGAAGATTATAATATTTTGCTGTATAACTGCATGCAGAACTTATTTGGGTTGCAAACGGAGTGGGGTCAGACTGATTTTCAGGTAAAGCTCTGACGTTATATATTTATAAATGAAATTGTTCAAAAGTCCACAGATTAATTTTAGATACTAGACAACCTATACATGTTACATTGCTGGGCAATAGGAACTACATTAAGGAGATTGATATAGTATATACATATATATATATATATATATATATATATATATATATATATATATATATATATATATATATATATATATATATACTGAATTCATTTTATAGAAAAGGTAAGCATGTACAGAGGTATAAAAACAAATCTTCACGAGTTTATCCTGATCTGTATATACATCGTATTTACTTAATCATGGAGTAATGTTTTCATCTTTAAATAAGGAAAAAGTCCGAAAAATTAACAATATACGTAATTTTATAGCCTGTTTCTATATATCATTGGCTTCGAAGCGATTAAAGGGTCAATATATTTTGCAAAATACCCAATTGATCGAGAGGGGTTGCACTGACAAATTCTATTTCTAGCGCTAGCTATATATAATGATTACTCAATCTTTTCATTTTAACGTTTGGCTTGTCTCCTGGTATAAATGTTTGACAGCTTGGCTTGCCTCTTGGTAAAACGTTAAATCAAGCCTTAGACAAGTCATATTGCCCGGTGCAATGCAGTTTCCTTTGAAGGGGATACAGGAGGGTTAACAGAGTCAAACTCTCTGGCTTTTTACAATTTTCACTTAACATATATGGTCCGACTGCATGTTTTGTATATACTGAAGAAAACTAGCAACTATTTTGTTCAGTATGTTGTACTTTGTATATAAACGTGACAGACACTATACGAAAAATATATCTTCGTGGAAAATTGATGATTCACGAAAAAAATATTTCTATTTCAGACTATGAAAATCTTTATTATTACATGGTGCGTTTTGTTCACACTGAGACTGACGGAAAGCCATAAATGCAGTTCGAGGTATTTTTCGTTGCTCCGAGGTCGCAGACTTAAAAGTTCATATGTGGAACGTATCAAGGTGGAGAGTCCGATTATGTGTGCAATGAAATGCATGAAAACTGAATGGTGTCAGGCGACCAACTTCATATCAGACACTGGCAAATTCATTTGCGAGCTTTTCAATGCAACTAAAGTTGGTTCGGGGCAAATCATAAATGACGAATCAGCAGTATATTACTTCTCACTGGCAGTCGAAGGTAAATATTATTTTGTTTCTTGAAGGTAGATAAGTTTCTCTCCTTACATCCTAGTTCAATTTGTTCCAAGCGGTTCTAGCTCGCTTCAAACTCAGTCAACAGTATGTAGCTATAACATATAAGGGAGGGGGGGGTGATTATCCCGCGCGGTGCCGAGACAAAAAGGGACCGTACTCGTTTATTGAGATCACCGATCATGCGCAAGTACCTGAGGAGATTTTTTAGCTAAAAACTAAAGGCCATGTTACACGGTGCAATTTTTCTTGAAACTTGCAATGCAATTCTCCTTTTGAGAAATGTAAATTTGGCAACTTCCGCAATCTTTTGTCTTTATTACGCTCCATGGCGCTTCTAACACTTACATTTTAAAGACTCTTCACTAATTAACATCTCTTTAAAATAGAATTGCATTGCAAGTTGCAAGGAAAATTGCACGTGTAACATGGTCTAACAAACGGGGAACTGTAAAAGACTCTAAAAAGACCATCTCTGTCGCATAGTGGCACCTCAGTGACATCTATTCCGGAGTCTTTTTGAAAACTTTGAATTTTCAAACGCGTCGTACATCGTATACTAGTAAATAATCAGTCCAATGCATTATAATTTTTTTTTCCCAGAAGGGGCCAGTAAAACTCACGAAGTTGTTACAGTAACACCAACACCAACTGCGCATGTACTCACCTTGATACCGTCGTCCATTGTGTTAATTCAAGCTTCGTCCACCGTACCTTATCCAATGACGTCTTCCGCTACAGCACATACTACGCCAGCGGTTGCCTGCAAGAAGATTTTCCAGGACAATCCGTGAGTAGTTTACCCCTCATTATGAAAGATACTCTCTTTTAAGAAAGAAGTTACATTCACTATCCAAGCACGGAATATTTGTTTCTGGGCCGTCCAATTTGAACCCTTTCGTCCGTCCCGACCCACCCGTCAAAATATTTCAGACAAAATATTTCTGCTTGTTTTGAAAATAATGTCAGTATGGGCCGTGAAACAAATGGAAGCATGGACGTCTATAGATTGGAATATCGATTTTTGCGAACAAATTTTATCTCCTAGACCTTAACGTCAATTCCAACAACCAATGCAAATTGATTGCAAAACTGAGGTTACAACTTTTCTTACAGAGGATCTTCGGATGGCCAGCATACAGTATTTCCAGGAACAAATAAAGAAGCTCAGGTTTTTTGCGATATGACAGGGGCACTCACGGGTTGTGGGGGCGGAGGGTGGACTTTGGTGATGAGAATTGATGGTCAGAAGGTACTTATTGTCGGAAAACCTGTTTACGTTTTTTGTGGTTTCCTGTTTAATTATCAATATTTAATTTAAGTAATTAATCTTGTAGGTACACCGCGTAAGTATATATTGCTGCAAAGCTTTCGGTCCGTTAACCCGGCCTTCATCAGTGCAATATTATTAATATTATATTATCAAGAATATTATTAATATTTCATTTGACAGTGTTTTATTATCATACAAAACTTTTTTTTTCAGAATCAGTATTTTTTAGTTTAGCAACTTGCCGGAGCTTTTTCAATCGATTTCACTAAGAACGGGTGGGTGTAGCAACCCACAAACAATGAGACCAATTTTCCTCAAAACATCGAGGGTAGGGCGGAGGGGGTTGGGTATGTCGTTCGGGACAATAGCACTCAATAGTAACATTAACATTATTAATATTGGCATTAACATAAAGTACTGTTGTATATTAATCGCGGGCTCCTTTGTGTTCGTTCGCAAAACGTTTTGGTTTTCTGTTAAAATATAAATTTTACTCGAAGTGTTTTTTCCTTTTTTGGTCTATAAATTTATCACAAATTGAACACATCTACTGGCTGATGATTGAAATCACATGCGGACGAAGGGTATTGCTGCAGGCAGAGCGCATGATTGTGCACCTCAAGATAATTTGGAGATGTGAGGTTTTCTAACAAGTCTTCTCATTCGATTTGTGCGGAAGGGGGGATGTTACAAGATTCAGATTGGACTTGAAATCGACGGTTTTATAACATTATTTTGTTTAACAATTATTAATTTTGCCTCTTTATATAGCAAACCTTTGCATACGATGCGAGTTACTGGACTAACAAACAAGAATATCAATCAGATAAAGGCAACGTGTTAGACGACAACTCAGAGACCAAACTATCAACCTATCATACCACCCCTTTCACTCAAATATGCCTTGGTATGAAGTACAATAACCAAAAAGGATGGACGACGCTCAGCTTGACAAGCTCATCACTCTTCGATCTTGTATCAAGTAATACATATCACCAGACAACCATGGCTGTTACCCAATGGAAGAAGCTGATACCCTCTGGTGCTGCCCTGCAGCCAAACTGTCGGATGCAGGGGATAAACACGCAGCGTGGGGGTACCGGTGTTCGTATAGGGATCATTGCAACGAAAACGTGTGGGGTAGATGGGGATTACAATTCTAGGCTCGGTTTTGGCGGGAAAGGCACAAGCTGTGGACAAGATGGGAATAACAGGTGTGGTTACGATGCTCGTTGCGTGAATGGGGGCACGAGTAAAAAGACGACAGGATATATTTTGGTTAGGTGATCAAAGTCGTGTCAATGAATGTATCCATGATTATACTATCTATAATTCCGGACAAATGGGTGCATGTAGGTTTTTCTGTTTAGCTCTCACTCAAGCTCACAGGAAAAATCCAATACCGGCATTTTGAAATGAAAAAGATATGAAACATAATCCATGGAATTGGAATTGAAATGAAGATGTCACTATGTTGTACTCTTCCTCCTAATTATGTCAAGTTATAATCTTAGACGAGCTGGTTGTTTCACACCATGGGCACATCAGCATTCACTACCACAAAACAAATAATGCATGTACATACATATTTGCAATCTTCTTTGGTGTAATTGAAACTTCTACATTGGAATCAATCTAGCTATGTTATTATTATATGATAAATACGTATATATTTCCTCGTCAAAAATGGTTTATGGCCGTTCCAGGGTACGCATATTAAGTCTTGATTCAATTCGTCAATTTAAGATCTTTCGGCCCAGGCATGAGCTCCTACATGATAGCCTTATCAAGGCATCGCAGTCGTCACCTTGGCAACTCTTTATAGCTCTCTCCACACATCTTTCGCAGAAATCAAGCTCCATAACCGGCCAATGTTGGACATTTTCCAACTCGCGTCTTCCGGCCGAAGCCTTAGGCTTAGGGCATTTGTTACAGCCCTTTGCGTAGAATGAGTGGTTGAAATACGGGTTGTTCTGGCGGATTTCGCACACCCCCTTTTGGTACGGATCGCAACCCATATTTACACAGTACAGTTTACAATGTGCGTGCGCCGCAGAGCAGCAAGCGCTGCACTTTGGCCCGCCAGTCTTGTAACCGCATTTTTGCTTGAAATTAATTGTTGCAACTGACAAGGCACTCATCGCCACGAGAGTAAAGACTACTATGACTGCTGCTCCAGGCATCTTGAGAAAAAATAAAACTACTCAACATATTTTTCCCGCCTTCATACAACCCCTAACCAACCTCCATCCCATAATAAATTAAGCGAGGCTATTTATTACACATTTCCCAATCGAGCAGGGTACTGGGTCTAGTCCACCGTTTAAGCTAAACGGGCTTGATACAACCGGCCCCTGGCGGATAATCTCGGATGGAAAGAAGATATCCTTTACCAGTTGATAGTTTTAGTACATATAGAATTAAAGTAATCCCGAAAAATGATAACATAATATAAATTTTATTCTGTATGTTTCGAATCAAGATCGATTCATCTTCAGCAGAATGGTTACGTTTACAAGATTTGCATAACTATAGTTACGCAAATCTTGTAAACCATTCTGCTGAAGATGAATCGATCTTGATTCGAAACATACAGAATAGAATTTGTATTATGTTATCATTTTTCGGAATTACTTTAATTCGAAAGAAGATATCCTCCGCAATTTATATTCAACCTTGAAAGAAAATCGGTTAATTTAAATAAACAATCGACTAACGAACATCGACCAATCTTCCCTGCATGCTTCATCCCTACTGATCTCTAAAATCACTTTTTCACAGAAATATAAAATTTTGGTATAAACCTTTCGCGATATCTGATGACTGACCAGATCATAGAACGAACCCAGAAAGACGAAGCTATACGTACGTGTTAATTTGGGTTTCTTCGATAGTGACCCTTCACTTTTATTCTTGTATCCTTACGAACAATCCTTAACTGCGAATAAAACCTCCGATATTTTCCGGGTCTTTTATAACGGCGAAGAACGGAAACAGACGTGAACAGGCGACAACACCCGACGCTAATGCGTTAGATCGTTCGTGCAGATTTTACCAGTTCACAAGTGGATACACAAGATTGTTCGCCCATGCAATTTATGTAGGGAAACGACGAAGTGCCCGTCGATAAATATTGGAATAGTTTTAAAAGATCGCATGCAATTCATTGATAAAAATACAATTTAAAAAGGTTTTGATCAACCGAATTAAAAAGGTTTTTAAATTCTATGCCACAACCCCGTCACAATAATAGAAAAGCAGTCTATACACATTAAACCAAATTAAGCGCGAGGTTAACTTGACATTTGAAAGATGCGATATGTGCATTCTGACACAGATGGGATTATACAACGACTTAGAGTGAGCACGTGCATGCAGAGGCGTTTATTAACAAGGTGGCCGATGCATAGTGAATTTCGCCTGAGGGTATGCATCCCTATAATTCGATGGCGCAAATTTACTAGGCGTTTGAGGTTTGCAAAGAACCGCTAACGACTCCAAATCGCAGTTTATATGCAGTCAACTGTTGACCAAGAAAACTCAACATAAAAGCTAAATATTTAAGAGAAAAGCGTAAATTAGTTGAATAGGTATAAAGGCGGTTTTCCACTTGGCAAATTTTTCGATCGAACGAAATTTTTCGCTCGATTTTCTTTTCAGTTGTGACCGGTGAAGGGAATCCGCTACAGTCGAATTCTCACAATTGAAAAGAATATCAGACGAAAAATTATGTTGGATCGAAAAATTCTGCCTAGCCTAGAAAACCGCCATAAGAAATTGCGTGAAAAGCTCCCTTAAATGAAGCTCCCCATGGGAATTCTTTTAATTAACATTACAGCTGAATTTTTCTCATTATATTTATATAAAACGCTTTTTCATTTGCAAGATAAACTTCCGATTTTACAAGGACTTGACGTGTAAAGTGTGTCAAAAAACACACTTAGGGTACTTTAATGCGTGGCAACTAAAATATCAGGTCAGTATCGGATGTCGAGTGATATTCTTACAAAGAACGAAGTTTCCAAACAAGTGCTTCCAATTTTTTATTATTTAACATGTGGTCTATATCAAGGATCTAGACTTTCATATACGTGCGTGTACAAAAGCACCGCTTAGAGGAAATTAAGAAAGAAAAACGGTGTACGTTATTTTTGGAATCTTCAAAATATAGCGGAGATTAAACATGCAGTAAATTTCTCATACAATTCTGATTTGCTCATTGGCATAGAATTCGACTAAAGTTACACTGTCATGCAGTCAGTAATGTATAATATCAACAACTGTCTAAAATAAAAAAAAAGATTCTCTCGACGTTTCAAATACAAAAGAAATATATTCCTCCAAGGGTCAAAATGAAAAAGCTAAAAGAATTTTCTTTTCAAATGTCTTGTTCCAGCTTCGCTTGTGCTTCGAGTCTTGTGCTTATGCTTGTGCTTATGCCCATCCTTGTGTCGCACGCTTCATTGTATTTCTTTATTTTGACTTCTGTCTTTCTTTATGCTTGTAGCCTTGTGCTTATTTCACTCATGTGACTAACCAGGTTTTCGTATATGGAACTAGCTACCACAGTTATATACCAAATACATTTGATCTATATTTCGATGCCTATACTTTACAATCATTTTCAGGAGATGTTTTGAAAAGCTAACTCAGTGTTTTCGCCTCTTTTCGCTTAACGTATGTCGTATAGAACTTCCAGTGCAATTTAAACCAAAGACAGACGTAAAAATGGACAAAAATTCGGGTCCGTCAGTCTTTTGAGTTTTGCTTTAACTATACTGAGGACTTTTCCGGCTGGAAAGAAGTGCAATCACCAAGCAACAGAAACTTTTTTGTGATGTAAAATTCTGCATGAACAAAAAGGGCGAAATTGTTTCGTGTGTTTTATCATGCAGTAAGTCTTATCGGTTCAACATTATCGTCCTGCATTTATATTAAGACAACAACAGGCTTTTATATCTTTTTGTCCATCAAAATGTTTGTATATGCTCTCAGTATAATGCATGCTGATCAAGCACAGATGTTTCAATCTGGTGTTGATACATAATTTTTATTTGCTATAACCGTAAAAACACTGATTAGGCGTCACTGCATTGGCTAGTTTGGCTGGGGTATATTTAATACAGGCAAGTATAGTTATTTACATATAACAGCGAAGAAAAAAAACGTTAATTTAGTACTAAATAATGTATTAAATTGCCAAATTTGCCGATTGCTATTCTTGTGTGGAGAAGTGCTTGCCCCATGCTCTCGTTGTGAGAGCCATTAAGGTCTCGCGGGAATTCAGTATCTTTCGCAGGGTTGCATGATACGACCGTAAAGTTCAGTGCAGTCCAGTTAAACGACCGACCGGTCATATTCGCAGTTATGAGTTGACGATTTATTCAAATCGATGCATTGATTGCTGCACTCAGCAGACCCGTATATGAATTTCCTGTCATTTAATAACACGATCGGTAATTATCCGGCTATTTAGGAGAATCCCCACGGTCCGCTGAAATCTGGCGAGATGTGTTCAGTTTAAGAGAAATGTCTTCGTCCATGAAGTTTCGTCACGAGAATCCACGATAGCCGAAGAAATGGTGGGTGTACAGTACATGGATGTAAACAGAAAGTGATGTGAAAAAGAAAGAAAAACATTGCCAGCGAAATGGTTTGAAGTTGTAGAACGACAGAAGAAATAGCTAATGTTTTATGTCTGTTCTTTAACCAGCATAAATACACTGTAAGTTCAAAAGTATTAAAACTACTCCCAAAAAGAGTAGTTCCCAGGTCAAAATCTCTTGAATATACTTAATTTCGGTTTTAATTGTATCACAAAGTTATAGTTCTTATAACGAAACATAACCACAAAATTTCGATTGGTTCCATAAAGAATAGCAAAAGATCGTATTGATTAAATACTGCAGAATGGATTACTATTTCACCAACTTTTCTGAGCGCTGATTGGCTAGAATATGAGCCTGAGATCACCTGGTGGTTGTGACGTCATACTACGTCTATGAAAATTCAAAATGGCGGACACACTAATAACTGAGGTTGGCCAAATTTTAAAGAGAGATATTGGACGAATATACTTCAACTATCCTTCAAGGTTATTTCATTTGGCACGCGTTTCGTTTCACGATATTTAGAGAGTCCATGTTAGCAATTTGTCAAAATGGTATCAAAACATTGCTTGATCTTGCCGTCAATACGTTATCCTCTCTAAAACTGGGATTGATTTTCCTAATAACCTTAACCTATCCCTTCTCATTATTCTTACGAAAACAAAAATGCACAAAAGTGGACTCTATATAAAGACTAGGGGCCGGTTGTTCGAAAGGCGTTTAGCTTAAACGGTGGATAAGTTAAAAATAGAAAACACAATTATCTATTTATTGAACAACTGAGCTGAAATATTTTGATGTAAATAGTTTAATTGTCAATGGAAGTACATATCAAATGCATAAGATTCAGGTTCAGTCAATCACAAGATCTATGAGAGTATTTTTAAACTCTCGCTTATCCACCGTTTAAGCTAAACGCCTTTCGAACAACCGGCGCTAGAACGATAACCTCGAAGGCCGTTATGCATGAAGACCAAGAAACCCAACAGTCGTAATTACAGGTCATGTAGAGGTTCCACAATGCAAGAAAATTTCCTTGCAATTGACAACCACAA